TAGTAGTAGTAGTAGTAGTAGTAGTAGTAGTAGTAGTAGTAGTAGTAGTAGTAAGCTTAGAAGGAGGAGTACTTGAATACACAGTAATTGCATCGCCTCAGCCCCCCACTTCACATCTTTTCCAGCCTGTACTGCTCCACTCTCTGAAGTTCTGCTTCCACTTCGGAGGCCTTCTCAACCTTGACAAACTCTTACATTTTCACAGACGCGCTTCATCAACAGTCAAAGTACAAATCACCCAAACTACCGGGCAGATAACGAGGTCAAGTACGGGACGAAAATGCTGACATACCACTAGCATAATGTGCTCCACGACTGGAATTGGCTTAATTAATGCCAAGGGATCTCTCAATCCAATTCTCGTTCCACTGTGGATGGTGCCTCAGTCGTCACAAGCCCCTAGAGTTAACCAGCACTTAAACAGTCATTGCGTACTCTTGCTTTTACTCCTTCATCCTTTGAGGGCGTTGAATGTCGAGGGGAGATGCAGTTATCTATAGTAGGTCAACTTCGGCCTCAGCTCCTTTATTTGATATGTTATACTTTCTCAGGATTCTGTGGCCTGAGAATGACATCATCGCCATCTTTGAGAAAAGAGAGGCACATCGATACAATAATGGTCATTTAGTGCTCGGAAAAAGTAAGACAGGCAGACCGAAATAATAGAGGGAAACTAAAGAAGTAGGATCTACCAGAGGCGCCCTCCAACCACCTGCTATCTTCTGTTTTTTCATGATCACGTTCTTACAAAAATTTTCGTTACCAACGAGGTTATGAGTTCAGCAAGCGCAACAGTAAATAGGGACGTTTAATTCCTTTCTCTAGTATCATTTTGCCACCTCAAAACAAACCCCTTCCTACCAAAAACAAACAAACAAAAAACAAACAGACAAAAGAAATAAAAAACCCAACCTAAACAGCAAAAAAAGCAAACAAATATAAACAATAACAAAACCGAAACTGCGTATATACAAGTACTTCCTCAAAGATATAGAGTAAGACAGGTAAGCTGCTTAATCTTCTACGATCCCCCCCCCCCTTTTTTTTCCTCTTCACGCCCAAGGACGTTGACAGCAAACTCTGCAAAGTGGTGCGCTAGAAGTAAAAAACAAAATGATAAATTGTCTGTAGAGAAACAAATCAACGTGTGCCTAACAAAAAGCCTATAAGTAGTATTAAATAGGGTCAGCATGTGGGTATAGAGAAGAGAGCGTTGGGGAACGAGAGGGCTCATATTTCTAGGGAGTAATTCATCACTCTTGAGTTTTTCGTCCAGGTCTTTATCTCTAGTTAGTAAGTAGTATAAGGTTTTACGGCGCTCGCAACTGCTAAGGTCATATGAGCGCGCGGTCTTTATCTCTGTAGAGTCTTCTTCAAACGATCTCAGAGCCCCAGGTATTCTCCCTGTTATCCACATTACTCACGCACTATTTCTTCACACTTAAATTCAAAGTGGTGGGACCTTGGAAGTGACCCTTATCCAAGTTCAAAGAGCACTTCTTCCTTACCTGTTCATTGCCATGTCCTTATCTCATTGGTTGTTGCTGTGTTATTCTGAATCATTCTTTCTGTTCTCTGTTTCATGTTCACTCACTTTCTATCCACTCGTTTTTGCCCCCAGCTCCCTATCTATCTATCTATCTATCTATCTATCTATCTATCTATCTATCTATCTATCTATCTATCTATCTATCTATCTATCTATCTATCTATCTATCTGTCTGTCCATCTGTCTGTCTGTCTGT